CCCAACAGACTTGCACACACAGCAGACAGATGAAGAACATTCAGGTGTCTTTTATATCACTACCTCTGCCCTTCATCTGCCCTCCATTCTGTGCCTGGCCCAGGAAGACGTCACAGCTAGGGTTAGCCTCTTCAGCCTGCTGCAAGGCTTTACCAAGGTCAGAGTTTTCCTGCCCAGCCCCCATTTACAATGCACTATAAGGAGAGTTTCCCTCCAGGCAAAGGCTACCAGCAGCAGCTTCCATCAGGCCCTTGGCAGGGGCTGGGCTACCAACAGCAGCCAGACAGAATCTCATTCCAGTCCAAAAACTATACCCTCAACAGCACCTTGGGTTGGTCTCCCAGCCGGGCATGTCCATCTCATCCCATTATCCGAGGGTTATGCTTGGCAGTACCACTGGCCCCAGGTAGAGGACCAGTTTTTGCTTCCCAAGGTTCAGCCCGTGCCCTTTTGGTTATGGTTTCTGTTCCCCAACCTCCTATACCCAGACCTCCCCCCTGCACACTTGGCAGACCCAAGGTTATGGCCTAGTCAATGGACATAGGCATAGTCTCAACTGTACCCTTGGCATGCCTTTTCATAGCCATTCTCTGCCCCCACTCTACCTCCTGCTCCAGTTTTAGGGCCCTGACTTTTACAGAGGAGTTGGGCAGATGGAATCTGAAGCAGCTCCCTGATTCTTCACAGATTCGGGGCCAGTTCTGTCTGGTGAGGGGGTGACAGCCTGAGACTCAGTACATAAGCATGGTGCCATGGTGCTCCATGCCACATTACTACCTCCTTAGACACTCATTGAGTGGGCCTTTTTCTGGATGGAGCACAGTTTGGCTGTCTGCTAGTCCCTTCCCCTCAGTCCCAAGTTGACAAAGCACCCCTGATTCTCCCCACCCCCAGTTTGTAAAGCACTTTCTTGTTGTTCACTGAAAGCAGACACGTTTTGGATCATTTCTACTGATTAATAAACATTTCTTTGAATTCACAAAGCAGTTGTATCCCATATCTTATTCAGTTTTTACTCAGTTGTCTTTCTCTTCCTCTGTGGCCTGACGACACTGAAAGCAGTTTGATAAGATGATCATCTTTCAGGGACTTGGCCTCCAGTGCCACAGACCATTCCCCAAGTTTTCTCTGCCTAAGCCTCCAGAAGGGCTTCCCCATTGGCTTTGCAGACGTGCAGGTGAAGGCTGGTGGTGTCCAGGCAGATCCCATTACTCACTGCCATGTCATGAGATGCTCCAAAGCCCATGCAGTGGTCATTTTGCAGCTGCTCAACTGATAGTGGAACAGTTTCTTCCTGGCATCCAAGTACCCCATATAAGGCTTCATTAGTCATGGTAGAAACGCATAGGCTAGGTCCCTGAGTGGAGTGGAGGGAGGACAGAGTTATAGGCAAACTCCTCCCACATCAGGGGAACCAGGTTAGAGTTTCTAAAGACCCTGACATTGTGAACCATTCCTGATGGTTTACACTGATCTTGCTGTTGCTCATTTGTGCAAACTGTCTAAGGTTAAGCAGTGCAGTGCAGTTTGGTGGAGAAGCCCTTATGGCTGCTGTGAGCAGGAGACAAAATGGCAATGTTGTGATTCTGACTACAGTCTCCTGTGACTTGGTGAGTTGTAGGAGCTGTGCTCCCAGGCCCTCTGGCTGGGTAACATTACCTCTCTGGACTAGAGGCATTTGGGGCTTGCCAGTTTCTAGATGATGATTGCTGCTTGCTTCTCCATGTTGAGTGGTGCTGTCAAGCTGTTGGCTTGCTACTCAGATGATAGAGCCAGCATGGAATGCATCTCCATGAAGGTGACATGGCTCATCCAAAAGCTCTGTCACTGTTCCTTGCCATCCCAGGGCCCCTGGACTATGTTCTCCTATGAGTTGCTGCTCATCTCTGGCCTAGAAGCAGGGGTACATGGTTTGCTGGTGGTCTCAGAAAAAGCCATCCTGGGTATCCTGTATGGCATTGTCCTTGGTCCTGTTGGTGTTTGTGGTGCATAGCAGGTAGATCTCAAGGACGTCTTTTTCAGGTCACTAGCTGTTGCCCTTTAGCTGGCAGATGAACTAGATGAGGACACAAAACATTCTCAGGTCTGCCATGACTCTGTCTCAAGTAAAACATAAAGAATAGCACCACGGCCGGCATTAGCAAAAATGGTACCCTGGGCAAACTCGTATTTAGTAGTTTTAGCAAAAGTTTCAGAAATTAAGCTGTAATCTCCAGCCCCCTGCCCAAGATATGGCAACCCCCAACTATATCATCCCAGCCAAGGCTTTGTCTACCTGAATCTTAAAATCTTCCAAGTATGGAGGTTCCACAACCTGTCTGAGTAACCTGTTCCATTGCTTTACTACCATGGAAGTCAGCTGGGATGCAGTCGTGGGGGGGCAGGGTAGGCAGAGCAGCATGATCTGCCTGGCAGTCTGGTGGGCAAGCGCTGCTGCTGCTGTGTGGGAGTAAGGTGGGTGGACTGGAGTAGGTGCCACCCTGCCCACACGTGTCTGTCCTGGCTCCTCCTGAACAGCAGGAGGGGTCAGGCTGGGCTGGGCACTGCTTTCCCTACCTAGGGCAAGGTGGGGGAAGAGTGCTGCTGTGAGCATGGGCTGTGCATGTGTGGCGCCCCTCTGACCAGGGCACCCTAAGGGTGCCTACGTCACCCAGCTGTAAGGCCTAGCCCTGGATGGTACATTCTGGCAATGCATGATCATGGACTGATCATTCCTGGCTACCTAGGGTGATAGCACTCCTCATGTAACTGACATGCTCATGAGAACTGAAACTGGCTAGGCTCTCCGTCACAGGGAGCACACAGTAGAAGCCTGTGTATAGACAGCAAATGGCTCTCAACTCTGCACTCAGTGGCCCAGAGACTGCAGTCTGAAGACATGCTGGGATCTCTGGTCTCCAGCCCCTTAAGCTACAGGTTTGCGCCGTTCTCCTCAGCAATATATGTGAAATAGGATTTAGCCCTTGGTGTTCATTTTATGCTATAATAGCAAGACCCAAGGTCTTGCTGACAATTTTAATAAAAGTTCAGTCAAAACTAATAGGGATGGGCAGTTATTTCAACTGGAGAGCCACTTAATGTTTGGTGAGCTGTTGAGGGCTGCACACAATCTTTTAGAAGATATCATTTAAACAAATTATAGATAAAAAACAAATCATACAGGTTTTAAAACAAAAATCTATAATGTTTTAATTTTATTTCAAGAAGTATTTTTTTGTCCTGATTTGTGGGGTTTTTTAGTAGCGTATATAGACGCAATTGCATAACAGCTCAAAATGAAGTCTTACTCATGTATATTGTGGGGTGTGTGGATGTGTGTGGGCATGTGCATGGGGGAGCATGGCGGGGTGGGGGGGGAGACTGCCTGTGTGTTAGGTCCCAAGAGCTGGCCGGGGTGTGGGGCAGGGAGTACATGCAGCAGAGCTCACTTGGGCATCGTAGATACGGTCTGCAGCTGCCCCTGCATGCTCCAAGTGGGGTTGAGCCACGCCCAGGACAACCTGTGCTGTGCTCCTGCCCCCAGCTAGCATGCACAGCTTCCCAGCAGGGTGCTCCTGGTATGGCTGCAGCTGCCCAGGTACAACTTAGCTCCCTCTTCCTCTAGCTGCTCCTCCTCCTGCCATTGCTGCACCACACTAGATGGGGAGGGGAGTTGCAGCTGGGCTTCAGCTCCTAGCTGCTTCCACCCACTCAGCCCCCTGCAGATGGCTGCTCATTGTGCTGGGTGGGTGGAGTAGGTGGAAGGTAGTGTGAGAGCTGGAGCCCCATGTACTGGGGCAGGAGCCACCTGGCTGCAGCTTCCCCCCACTGCCTGGAGTGGTTCAGCATGAGCAGGAGGAGGAGGAGGTGGTAGTGGAGGCGGGGGGAGCTAAGCAGTACCTGGGTGGCTGCAGCCGCACCAGAAGTGGTCTCACTGGGAAGCTGTGTGCACTGGCCAGGGCAGCACAGGCTGCCCAGGAGCAGGGCAGGGCTTGGCCCCATGTGGAGCACCGTGGGGGCAGCTGCAGGATGGTTCCAATCAATTGGAGGATGCCCACCTAAGGGCCAGATCCAGTCAGTTGGCTCGCCGGATATGGCCCATAGGCCATATCCCTGATCTAGCTGAACCTATATTTTCAGCCCTTGCTACCTTCCAATACATGAACTTCCACTAGTTAGATCAAATGCATTGACTAGTAGGCCGGGGGTCAGCAGCCTTTTGCTGGCATGGGTTGGAGCTTATGACCCAGCCATCATTGATCTGGAAATATTTCCTCCTGCCTGTACTGCTTACCCCCTGGCACCAGGTGGCTGGCTGCCAGCTTCTCAGCTCCTCTGCTCTAAGGGTAAGCTCAAATGCTGCATAGCCTCTGTGAAGCTGATTTCCCCATGCTGGATTTGGCCTTGGTGGGATGGATCAGACCTCTCCATGGGCTGGATCAAGCTTGCAAGTCATAAATTGCTAACTCCTGGATTAGGCAATATTCCTTCAGGCTACAGTCTGAAATCAGTCAGTCTGAAGTCAGTATGATTTTTGCTGCCAAGTCGTTTGGGTGCTTTTTTAGAATCCCAAACTTAATTTGGGTTTAGGAGTCTCTCTCTCTCTTTTGGCTCCTAATTTTTTAATGTTTTAGGCTATGCTTAATATTAGAAAGAGCAAAATAAGTAAAGACCATTCTAGGGAGGTTGTTCTCAGCAGTTTCTCCTCTGCTCTGGAGCTCCTTCCCTCGAGGGCTGCCAGAAATGCACCTGGACATCTTTCAGAAGCACTAAGTCCTTTATATTTAAGCAGCCATTGGGCAAATAATGCTAGGTTGAGATAATATTTAGGGGGGCTGTTTGATGTTGATATTCTAGTTCCCATATAAATTGTTTTGTCCTTCTGTTGTATAAGTATTCTCTTTCTTTTATTCCAAGCCTTGTTGGGAGGGGTGACATATAAATCAAATAAATAAATAGTTGCTGTAGCATGCTAATGGTTTCTACATACCAGTAATTTTAATCCTGTCTTTCTCTGTCAGATTTTATATGCTTTTAATCCAGGGTTTGCAGATAGCAGATTTCATTTGCCACCCAGTGCTGGCCAGCATAATCCTAAATTCCCCTCCTTTGTTCTGCTGTGACCTTAAGGGGATTGATGTTGTGGTTCCTTACTTCATATCAGCTCTTGAAACTATTTTACCTGACAGGTAAATACTTTTTCCTATTAGAATGTGATTTTATTTTATTTTATTTACATCTTGTTTCTCAATGGTTTTTCTTAAAAATGTTTGCAATGTATACTAAGGTTCATGTGGTCTATGATATGGATTAAATAGCAGAATTAATGCTTAGCAATGACTTGGGTTTTTATAACAGTAATGTCTGCATTTCTTAAGCCTTAACTAAGTCCATTCAAAGAGCTTTGAAGTGGTAATGACCTAGGGAGACAAGGTTCTTTGGGTGAATCTGATATCTTTTATTAGACCAACTTAAATAGTTGGAAACAATTTTTAAGCAAGCTTTTGGGTTTAAAAACCCTTCGTCAGGCTGAGAAAGTTTCTGCAGTTGGTGTGTGCTGTTCCTGGATGGAATGAAATGACTTGGGTTGCATTTCATAGTTTCATAGTAGCTAGGGTCAGGAGGGACCTGAACAGATCATCTAGCCTG